TTTTTTTTTTTTCCAGGTACTACTGCCACTTCGATCGATCGTTGAAACGAAAAGAAATTTCGTTCAAAGACAAATCGATTTTTGGAGACAACGCGAGGCGAGGATTTATACTCGTTATTCCATCATCATGTTTTATTTCAGCATAGCACGCGTGTTGCGTCGAGCTTCGAGAAGTACCACGCATCGATCGTTACACAAGTGTGATTTCATTATCGTCGAGGCATTCGATGACAAGCGCAACGTTCCATCAATAGCGACGCGACATCGTCAAACGGATAAAATTAACGAAACATTCACGCGTTCGCAACAGCCGCTGTTCGCGCTGTTCATTCGCGGTTACGAACACATATATGTGAGCACGTGTAAAGACATCACAGGGCGGCGTTTATATTCAGCGGTGTGCGAATCGACGAGAAAAGATCGAAGCGAGGAGTCACGAGTACTGAGAACATACACGATTCCATTGGAATTTCGGGAATGGACGGGTCCACCGGTTATCGAATACCAATCGAAATGAAAGGAAAAAAAAAAGAAAAAAATACACACACACACAAAGCCAGAATATCGGAGATTTTTCCCTCCTTTGTCGTAAACCGCCGAGATCTCTCGATCTCACGCGCAGTGTGTTAAAAAGAAAAAAGGAAAAAGAAAAAAAAAGAAAAGACGCGAAGTGGACCCGCGGATTCTCCGCGCAATACTCACGTCAGCGTCGACAAAAGTGACAGTCATACGTTACTCTAAGGTGCGGCTACTTTAATCTTGCGACACAAGCGCTTTACTACTTTAGCAGAGGTGTGCTTCTGAACTTGCCTGAGCGTAGCGGCAGCAGTAATCCCTACAACAGAAGAATACTTCCAGAGCCCCGATACTCACCGAGAACAGAGGAGGACAGAGGAGCAGGAGACCCCCGAAAACCATTCCCTACCATTCACGTTTATTTCGATCGCGTGGTCGCCACACGTGGACAATACCTGTACAATATCTTTTTTACCTTTTTCTCACGAGTGAGAGGATTAACGTTTAGAAGCAAGCATGCTGTCAATTTGCGATCACTCGTCACGAAGGAATTAATTTCGATGGTGATTTTGCCGCGACAGGACGATGGAAATGATTTGCGAAAATTTGCCACGTTATTATCATTGAATGAGTCAAGATTGTTTTAGTCGAGATTTCGTCAAGTGTAACTGTTAAGCTCTTGAAAGAAATGAACGAGAAGATGTACAAGATTCACTTGAGATTATTTTTAGACGCGTTTGATGATGACCGATGAATCCCTCGCTCTTCACTTTTAAGATAGAACGAGAAAATTTCACATTTTCAAATAAAAGAAAAAAGAACAGAAAAAAAGAAACGACATCGATCAGATTACGATAGCCAACGTTCGTTTGAATAGTTGTCAAAAAATTACAAGACAAGATGGAAGGATTCAAGGATGAATTTGTTACAACACGAGTGAAGAAACGAAGAGTATTCCCGAAGAATATGACCGAAAGTGTGTATCTCTTCGTTCGAGCAAGATCCAATACGAATGGATAGAGAACAAAGCTGCAAACTTAAAGTAGCTTTTAATAAAAAATAGGAAGCTAGAGAAGCTGTATGGTTGATGCAAACTAGTTAAACGCCTCGTGTAAGTTACTCGCATGCTCCCTTGGAAAGAATATGGAAACTAGAAAGCATAGGCACGAATTCCTCGAGACGGGCATGCGCGCGATCAAAAAGGAAGCTAGACAGTGAAGATAGAAGGCTGCGAGAAAGAGTAAGGCTGAACCAGACTCAAGCACTTAAAAGCGGTGCGAATTGCGGTAACCTGTAATTGCTCTATCGCGACGATTGAGCATCCGTATTTTATTACGCTGTGTCTCTTCTCTCTCTCGTAGCAGGCCCACTTAAATAAAATCGCGAATTATTTCGGATTATACGAATCGAGCTAGAGCCGGAGGAAATAATCGAAAGGCATCCTTTCGAGGCAAATTTCTTCCTTGTGACTTGAAACTTGTAATGTAATATACGTAAAGATATATTTTTAGATGTATCTTTCGATCCCTCGAAGGCAACACCTGTGTCTTGTATTATGCATCAATCTTTCTAGACACTGCGAGCTAAAAGCACACAGACTATAAAACGTAGACTATATTCTTCGATAAGTTTGACAAGGAGCTTGGATTTCAAGCTTGCATCTTTTAGCGTACGCGTTTTCAAACGACCATTTATTTAATCGAATCGGCAGGAAACGCGGGTGCTTTTTAAAATACAATCGAAACCAACCGGTTGG